GCCCTTTCTCCTTTCAACATCCATCCATTATTCAGAAACTGTCGATGAACCGAGGATTATGCCCCTAATGCCCTATCGAAATTGAGATAATTCTCAGGTATTATCTCCTCAAATCCCCCACCCACAAATGTATTTTCATTAAAAAATCCACCACAGAGAGTCACTGCATCTATAATTTCTCCCATAATCCCGGTCGAATCAACGAGGCTCTCGGCCGTGAATTTAATGCTCTCTAATACTTGAAATCCATGAAATACATATCCATTCCGCGCTCGCTCTATTTTTTTTATCACCATCATCTCCTCCATTCTTCTCGCATTTACCGACATTCTGGTTTACACTCCACGCTCTTTTTATTTTACGCCCTCCAGAAATAATTATTCACCCCCGAGAGAAATTTTCTCTTTGTTAATAACGATCTATTTTCTCTTTATGGATTATACGCGCGCAACGCCCCTGTCATTAAGAGGACTTTTCCGCTCGCCACTTTTCCCTTCATGTTCATTTTATAATTTTTCTGCATTTTTTATTCCACATATCCATGTGTATGTTATTATCTCCAGACCGTAAACCCCGCAGGTGAATCCCCATGAGAAGTGATAATGGCACAGGTAACTCGCTGGCGCTTGTCACACGTAGCGCGTGTACAAATTCAGTTTCATTTTTTTTTCCCGTGGCACCGGTTTTTTCCCATCTCACGCAATTTTCTCATACCCCGGGGTTTGTTATCCACGTTCACCTAGGCTATCATGCATATACAATGTGTAAATCTAGTTTTCACACGTTTCTCCTTCTTTTACGTCAGTCGGCAAAATCGTCTGACCCCTCTGGGCTATCGAGAAATGTGCATGCAAACGAAAAGGAAATAGCCTTGAGATTGCGCCGGGTTCCTCAACGGTCTTTTGCCGGGACAATCTGCCTAATCCAGCTGGAGCGGTTGAAAAGTTGAAATAGAATCTGAGAGAAGGGGAGGAGTCCTATATATGCGGATAAACATGTATTTTAATAGAATTGACATTGTATTAGTGTTTGATTTTTTTTTTACGTTTAAGGAACTTCCGTAGTAATTACATGAGAGTGGAAGGAAATGGACTGCAGAGTTGAAATTTTGAGAATATGATCTTTGAGTGATTACAAATTACTAGTGAAATGGTAAACCGGTATAAGTCGATTTTGACTATTGCCCAGTTTTCAATGAATATCTCATAATCTAAGGGAAATAGCAAAATTGTTGTCATAACCTTTTTTGTAGAGCAAATTGAGAGCTACAAAAAAAGGAAATGACAACAATTTCGCTATTTCCCTTAGATTCCGAGATATTTATTGAAAACTGGCCAATAGTCAAAATCGACTTATACCGGTTTACCACTTCGCTACTGAAATATCCTCCCAAAGTCCGAAAACGCTGAACCACGTAGATTGTTGAGGAGAAAAAATGAAAAATGTGTCATCAACAGAGTTTATGGCACCACTTTTTCAAAAATCACAAAAACAATCGACAATGGAATAAAAATTCAAACGCTTCACGAATAGAACCGTATATATTTTGTCACCGCAGGGATTATTTGTAATTATTGAAAATGTATGGCATAGTTCGGGATTTTAGTTACGTCGGAGGAAACTGATGGCTGAACATGGCAACGTTGAGGGAGGTTAGAGTGCGCGCGACGGAGGCCATCGTGTGAACTCCGCCAAGGCATATATTATAGATTCTATAGTACAGTATAGGATTTTATCGGGACACTAGAATACCAACTGCGTCGAACAAAAATGCGTGGTTGTCAAATCTTCCATGAAAATTGTTATTTGTTAAAAAATTCGGATAAATAATATTTCGGAATAAAAATTATTTGGAATTGATTAATCATGAAGAATAAGTGCAAAGAAACTCAAACGACGAAATTTCGATACACCCGTGAACTTTTCGTCATTGCATTTTTTTTTCAAAGGATGCAACGAAGTGTCGGAACCTTTCATATTTTCCCCCACTCCAGAGCCCCAAAATTTACTGCGGAAGTTTCTCAAAGTTAATTTGGAAATGAGTGCTTAAATGCAATACTAAATAGCATGATTTTTTGCCATTGTTTTGATTTGTAACGTGTTGGAGTAATCAGGCCGCCTCTGAAATAACAGCAGTAGTAAGTGTCTTGCTATTTAAATATAGTCAAGAATGCATTCAGATAGAATAATTTATTCATTTTACGTAAAGTTTAAATTAAATGATTAATTAATTTTAAAAAACAACCTAACTCCTCCGAAATCCTATAGTATATGAATGTTCTGTGACATCACAAGGTATGGAACGCTATATAAAGTCCCGTCTTTAGTGAAACACACAACTAAAAATATTTATATTGAAATAACTATGTGAGTTCATTAATGTGTAACAAAAATATTGTTAGAACAAATGAACAAATTTCAAATAAAGAATTTTGTTATATTCAAATGTCTCATTTCTGAGGCTTCGTTTCGAAAAGTGACTTTCTATCTACTCCAAAATAAATTACCCTTTCATTAACACAGTTTTAATTTTTTTGTTCCGCTAGAGTTTTCCATTTCGCAAGCTCATTCAATTTGTTCCATTTGTGATGATGCAGATGATTAGCAAGAAACCAGGATTAAGTTCGTCTGGTCATATTGAATTAATTCCGCTGGAATTCCATCCGTTTGATTGAGTTCATTCGAGTCATGAATTTGTTAGTCCTGCTGAGGATCATTTAATGGAACGTTAATTGGGTGCACTGGAATTTATTGCCGGGAAAATGTTCTCGAAATAGTAGTAGGTTGGAGGTAATTATTCCCGAGTTTGTTTCGAATTGTGGTAGACGATTCCTTCGTAGTGATGCCCAGTCGGTTTTATCTCATTCTGGAATTAACGTAATTATTCGCTGGAAATAATTTACGGTGGAGATGTCAACAGATTCAAAATTATAACAATTCAATTGAGGTATTTACTGGCAGGGATTGATGAGTCTAAATTGGAACTTGGACGATAATCACTCATAAGTGAATGATGATTTTCCAAATCTACAAATTTCAGGATTTGTTAGAAGAATTGTGTGAGAAGAAATTCTAAATTTGACATTTTTATTCTATTAACCAATATTGCTTTAAACTAAAATGCTGAATGCATGAAGATATTCCTGAAAAGGCGAAACTTGAAGTTACAAATAATATAACAATGACTGAAAACATCAACAAAGAGGGAACAACACCTTCCATTGTGAATTTTTCTAATGCAGAAACATCAGTGGTTTCCGTTTTGCAACCTCATTTAATTTGTTCTACCCTCATGATGATGCAGATTATTAGCATCAAACCAGGGTTAGGTTAGTCTGTTCATATTGAATTAATCCCGCTGGAATTCCATCGCTTTTTTAGTCCTGTTGATGATCATTTAATGGAGCGTTCATTGGGTGTACTGGAATTTATTTCGGGGAAATTGTTCTCGAAATAGTAGTGATGCACAGTCAGTTTTATTGCATTCTGGAATTAACGTAATTATTTGCTGGAAATAATTTATGGTGAAAATGTCAATAAATTCACAATTATAATAATTCAATTGAGATATTTACTGGAAGGGATTGATGAATCTAAATTGGAACTTGGACGATAATCAATCGTAAGATAATCAAGTGAATGATGTTCCAAATCTATAAATTTCAGGATTTGTCCGAAGAATTGTATGAGAAGAGAAACTGAATTGGATAACTTTATTTTATTAAACAATATTGCTTTCAACTAAAATGGTGAATGCATGAAGACCCTCCCGAAAAGGCAAAACTTGAAGTTCCTAACAATGCAACATATGACTGAAAACATCAACAAAGGGGGAACAAACGTTCCATTTTGAAGTAGCACGGGCTAAAGCTATTCTCCAAACTCGTTCATCCAAGTAATTATGGCAGTTTGTTGAACTACTCATCGTGCTTTATGCGATGATCCTCAGACGTACGAGTGTCATTCGAGAAAGACATTGTGTCGCCTGGATATCTCCGCAAACTTCGAAAGTTCTCACAAAGAGGGACGAGAGAAAAAAATTAATTTTTAAAACATTAACGCACACACAACACCGGCTGGCTCGGCTTTCAACTTTGCATTGAAAACGTGGCTCCAACAGTAGCCCCTGGAGGTACAGTACCCCCGAGTATATTTGACGAACAGCATGAGAAAGCGTCAAAAGTTCTCTGGGTAAACCTCTCGGTACAGAATGACGGATGACGTTGTATATAAAGCAGGTTAATGTGGGATGTATTCATTGTAAGTTTCTGAGTATCCCTCAAGAACAACAGACATCTGCGTTTCCCTCGCCTTTTCTCATTTCTGGTGAATTTTCAAGACGAGGATTGTTATAATTCACTCGGCAATTCCACCGGTTTTCATTCATCTCATCTGCCCTAAGGCAACATATTTCAACAAAGAATGGCGATCTCCAGATTTGAAATCCATGTGTGTGTGTACTTTATGAATCAATAGAAATTTCGAGCCATTCTTTGTGCCGAAAACAACATTTCAGCATCTAAACAAGTGCCTCAGAATATATTTACCATGAATGTTGTTTTTCTGCAAATCATTAAATGTTGACTAGTAACCGTGTTAATGAATTATAAAGGTTTTAAGTAACCTTGCGATCAATAAAGTTTATCAATTTGTTAAAATGATGTGATCAGTGTTGACGTGTCGGCCTTAAATTTCGAGGTCTTTATCAGGACAGTAATCCAATTTCAACTTATTTCTCTGTAAAATACACAAAAAACAATCATCCAATTGAAATTTAACTGACTAGGGCGATAAGATAATGGAAAGAAAGAATTAAATAATTCACATGATACGTTGAATAAACCGACCATCAGAAACATAATAGATTATGTTTACATCAATCCACAACAACTAACATTATTGCCCAGATCCAAATAATATAAAAGTAATTAAAAATGTTTATAAGACCAGCCCTCCAACTCTTGAGACCCCAAAAAATTGTTTTTCTGTCTTATTGAGATCTATTTCAATTGCATTCTTCCTATGAATTGCTTCAAATTCCGTGTACGTTTTTTGAAATTACAGTTGTTTGCTAGAAATAAAGATGCCTTTCGTGTTTTCAAGAAAGTTGTCCGCCTTTTCTGATGACTAAGTAACTTCTTTCTGAACGCATTAGCATTTTGTTCGATGATGAAGATGATCAAGGCTATCAAAAATCCAATAGCTAAAATGAGTAGGAGGGGTGCCACTCCTGGAAGAGATACTGATGAATATTTGAAGTCATTTCGCTTGAACTCCTTGTAGTACTTGTGCTCCAATCGTTCCATCATTCCGTTAGTTCTGAACTGCAGAATGCTTAAAGGTTTATCCAATCAATCATTTGCTTATCACTATACGAAAGATGAATTTGTCTTCTGGAAACTATCTTACTAGTAATTGACGAGGTCCAAGTATCTACTGCCTTGTGGCATGATCATCGCTAATATTTGCGTTTTTCCATATTTGATGGAAGAGAGTTCACAAGGTATTCTAATACCTTGAGCTTCTATAGCTTTCCTCGCCATGTCGTTTAAGTAGTACCCCACTCTCTTGCTGCATACCTGCAAATTTTGATCATCTGTGTAAGAATATAAACTTACAGTATCACCGCAGCTTCGAAAGTATTGAATATTCCCCGAATGATTCGTTTCACAATTATATTTACGAGTTTTAATTAGAATAAAGGAATCAGTGTGAAGCGTAAGCGATTTTGTGTCAGATTCCAAAGATCAGAAAATACTTATGAAATTCCTCTTATAACGGGATTACCTGCTCAAATACTTCCTGATCGTTTAGAGGAAGCGTATTCGTCGGCATCATCAAAGACATCATTTTCTTTGCGAGGGTCTGGTCAAAAAACTGAAATCATAATGTAGAAACTTTTTGAATTCGAACTAATGATGAAATATGAAACGAAATTTACAGATAGCATCAAGAATATTATTTGAGGTTCTAGTAGGTGAGTTCATCTCGGACAATTCATCCCAAACGTCAAATTACAATGGAATTTTTTACGGTCACAACAATATTTCAGGGAGAGAAAAATATTAACTTTATTTTCACAGCAAAAAGAAACACTAAACGTAACATCAAATTCAATCAGATACTTCACGATTCCCTCCTAGTATTGTTCACACAACAGATCAACGGATTAACAGGAAACATTGCAAAACAACGGTCAAATCATTGTTATCCATCTCAACTAATATTCGCTAGATAAGCCACAAGTAATAGATCGCAGCATCAGTTTACAAAATCAATATAAAACTTGAAAATTAATTGATAAATTAAATTACAAAAATCAGTAATTTATATTTGAGCAAAATTTACCGCAGACTTGACAACTCAATTGAATTATTAAATTAGTCCACTTCTCTTCAACATTGTTGTCTTTATTCGATTAGATAATGATAACACCAAAAAGGGTCAACACTCTGCTAATCCGATAAGTCACGCGCTTCAGCCAAGCGTATTCTTCATCCAAACAGTGGATATAAAAAAAATCAGGCCTGCTCGCGCGCTCGCTCTTTCGGGTGTGACCGGTAGGGGTGGGTGGAATTGGGTGTGACCCATTACGGGTCGAACCAATAACTTCCCGACCAGTTCCCATTTGTTCATTAGAACAAAACACGCAAATTTTGAAATTTCCATCTTGATAACTACAAAACGGCTGAGACGATTTTACTTGGCATCCGCATAAAATCGAATTATATGGAGATGCATCGATTGCATGAGCAGGAATCAAATCCCATCATTTTTCTACATGGAATTATTGAATTTTCAAAGAAAAAACTTTTTTTTATTTTTCACATGTTTTATGCAAATAACTAACAAACTGCTGAGGCGATCTGTCTCATAATCTACTCAGTTCTAAGTTACATTGACACGCATCGATTGAAAGAAAATGATTGGTCAGAAACACAACATTGGAACATGCACTGTCGCAACCTGAATGTCTGGTAACCTTACGCGTCTGAGTAGACCACTAATGGCCCATGATTGACACAAAGAAGACCCCCCCCACTGAAAAACGAAAAAAATCAAAATCAAAAGAAAAAATTTAAAAAAAGCTCAGACTTGGAAATTGTTTAAAATCAAATTTCTCATTTTTTTTGGGTGAGGAAAATTTGAAAAATGAATAAATAAATGAAATCCGAAGGGATATATTCAACGACTAGATGAAAATTTATTTTCACATATAACATTTTCTACATGAAAAATACTTTAAACTTTGGTTACAAATATACTTTAAACTTTATACTTTTTATACTTTAAACTTTGGTTACAGATATAAAAAAATATAAGGAATGTCGAATCTCCATCAAATAAATCTCCCGAGAGATCAATCTCCTCGTCACTGTCGGGTATGATGTGATTGTCCATTTAATTTCACTGCTTTTATATTAAATAAGTGAATAAATTTAACGACAGAATATTGAGAGGGTTATGTGGATACCAACAAGTGAGGCAGTGGGCGATGTTATGAGTCGATGCGCGAGTCGATGCGCAATGGATGTGTGGAATCCAATGATGATATTGCAACGACCATTTGCGCATCGATCTGCGCATCGACCCGTGGATTTGCGCATGCCCATGGATCACGCACGGGATTATACACAGATGTGTAGGGTTCCACACTACAGTGTGAAACCCGGCACTTTCTGTGCATCGACACTCAACTGAAACCGGCCGGATTTCACGCACGTATGGTATAAAAATTCATTTCATTGGGTTCTTGGAATATAAAATAACATTCAACATCGAATTATCCAGAGGCTAAGCAGAATTTCAATTGCAAAAGGAGACTTTTCTTATCACAGCCTTTTTTTTCAACTCGATTTCTTCAATTTTGAGTTTGTTCAATAGTTCTAATTTAAGGAATTGCAGAAAAAATGAATTGAAAAAATTAATTAATTAATTTCATGATCTATTCCCCGTAAGGCAAAAAGCATACGCGATTTTATTCTTTGAAGTCAGAAGAACATTCTAAAGAACAGAAAACCTGGATCGGATGAAAACTGGCGCAAGGAGCATTTTGCACGTACAAATACGCAAAATTACGCTTTACGTTAAAATGCGGGGCAAAATGGGTTGGGTCCGTCATTTTTCTAACTCTTTCATCACCCTCATCATGTATCAAAAGTTGTTCGGTGGATCCCGTCACTAATCGCAGACTTCAAAGTTTTCCGCCTGAACGTGCGAGTTATTTCCAAATTCCGAGGGTTCAGGAGGAAAACAGGAGGTGTGTTAAACCTATTTATCGCCTGCACCCCCTAAAATGTTTTCCACTCTATCCCTCCTGGAAAGAACCTACAAACCCTTTCGAGGTATTTTTTTTATTTTTAATTATTAACATGAGAAGTACGGGTGAAAATTAAGGTCATACTCAAGGGTCAAAAATAACTGTCAGAAACGACAGTCAAAAATAAGGGTGAGAATTTCAGTAATTTTCACCGTAAATAGAAATGAACAAAATAGTGAGCTACTCAATCATCCTGGCTATCAGGGTTAATTCAGGGGATTTATGATTTCTTTTCATTCGACAGGAGGAGAAGGGGGAAAAAAGTATCAGTTGAGAAGGGTTTTTACGCGTTTAGGATGAGGCAGGGTCATATAAGGAATTATTCAGGATGTATCGGATGAAGAAAGGAGGAAAAAATATCTCAAGGAGGTAATAGGGGGGAATAAGGTCCAGATATTCGACTCGGGAAGTCTCATTGAGGCGCATCGATGGGTACAGAGAAAATTTGATTCTCATCTTTTATCCAAGTGCAATCGTAGCACAAAAATTCGATGATAGTTTTTTTCGAAGTTTTATTTAAATAATTAACGAACCGCTGAGACAATTTTGTTCATAATTTAATCAGGTCTAAGTCCCATTGACATGCGTCGATGGGCATAAAGCAAATTAGATTCTCATCGTTTATTTAAGAGAAATCGTAGCACAAAATTTGTTCACAGACACACACACACACACACACAGGCATTTGCGGACGACGTTGCTGTGGTGATTGTGGCGAAACACCTGGAGGAGATTCAGCTCACATTCGACCTAATCTTTGAGGAGAACAAAAAACACACCCAGACATGTCTTTGGAAACGTCATAGAAAGATTCTAGGGGTCATGAAACGTGGAGATATCGTGAAATTTCCACTTTCGATTTTCGGGGTCATTACAATAACTTCCCTGTAGATCGGGAAGTTAAAAATGGGATAAAACTATCGTGGGATGAATTTGTTGTAGGATGAAATTGTTTGGGATGAATTTGCGGGATGAATTAACCGGATACCATTATTTGAAAATCACAAATAGCAATGAATCACCTCGTACTGATCAAAATTCTGAGACACGTTTAGCTTTATGACATGGAAACTGCCGTCGTCTACGAATTCTTGCAGTGTCTTGAATGGTATGTATGAAACTACAGTGAGCCTACTGGTCATCACAGCACCATATGCACTTATAATGGCCATCGACGATAGCAATATTGACCCATAAACGATCCTCGAAGGAGTTCCTTCAGGGAATTCTATTCAGAAAAGTTGTTACATAAAATTTGTTGGATAACAGAACTGCATTCGTCATTACTTGGCAATGCTTGGTAACAGTAGATACTCCAAGCATATAGATAGTGTTGAAAGAGAAGAGGAAAAAAATGCGATCTTCTCGTGTAGTTGATGAGGGTCAATAGAATAGTCGTTATCAGAATTAACCCAAAAATGACCATCCAGACGTCCATTGATAATAACTGTCAGTGGTTAATCAATTATTAGAAATGCATTCATAGAAAGGCGACTGAAGCTAAGCGGGTTAATGATCTTCACCTTGAAATAAGCATTCCAGTGTAAGCGAGCCGTATAATCTTTGTTAAGATACAAATATAAATCTGCAGATGTGAAATGAGTTGTGAAAGCAATCGCAGTAGTCCGTTTAATACTGAACAGGAAGTCAGAAACTCCTAGATCAGCTTCTCGTCGATGAATCATTCCGACTGCACCCGTCCAACTCGAGGTTTCTGGATTCCAAACTCCGTAATCATCTTCCCAGATTATTTCCGATACCGTGAAATTCATTGCTTGAGACAATTCTCTCAGAATTTCACCCAAAACTCCATAATAATAGCCATCCTTTTCCCAAAACATGCGAGCGCGCTGGAATCGTATAATAGTTTGTTACTCACTTAATCGCATTGAATTGAATTGTTATGGAAATGTTTAGGGTATGTGAGGATTCGAACATTTGTTTCCAATAAAAATTTACGAAATTCACTGTCTGGTTGACACCTCTGTCTGGTTCATTACAAAATAGACCACAGGGCAAAACGGATCACTGACAGAAAATTTATAATTTTTGTTTTTTTTTCTTTCCTTCAAATCAGGAACACTGAATGTGTTGAATTAAAAATGAGTTTCTTGGATCGTAACCGTTACAGGGGTTTTATAGACAATAAATGTCGTTGAACCGCAATTTAATCAGATTTGCTAATCACCGCAAATCACAAATGATTTGGAATTTTTTTTGCTTCCGAATGGAAGCAAAAAGAAAAATCAGTTATCAGTTTATCAGTCAGTGTTCCATATTGCCCTAGGGGTCCGTTTTGCCCTACCCTCCTCTATAACTCGTCAAGAACCTGAGGAATCCTAAATATTAAGCGAAACGTTACTCATTGACTACGCATTAGTATGCTGTACTGATTTTTCAATTTCCCATGATCTAATATAATGTATGAAAGTTTTACCTTGACCACAACGATGCGGAGCCCTCGGCCAGCAAGTGAATATATGCCGCCATGAATATCTGCGACCTGTTCATTGGAGAACCACACAATTCCGCGATCATCTTTCTTGAATCTGCCAAGCTCCTGCCTCTCGGTATGATTCTTTCCATCATACCTCCATTCTTCAATCGTATTGGAGGTGCAACAGGAAATAAGTACTCTCGAGCCCAACTTCATGTCTGATAAACTTTTATGCGGGTTGCGACAAAATTCACAAACATCTCGGTCATCACCTTTGGTGAAAAATATCAGCCAAATAGCATAGCTCATATGCAAGTCCTTAGTGATTGATTCGAAAGCATGCAATTCTTCGATTGTATCAAGGGCAATCACGATGAGGGAGCGAGTGGTTTTCTCACTATAAATCTTCAGTTTTTCGTCGGGCCTAGTGTTAAGGATAACTACCGATATTCCTTCATTGGATAATGTCCTAGTAGTTTCATGCCAGATCATGATGTTTTCAAATGCTGGAATACGTACAGTCGGATCAATATTTGATGAAGACTAGACTGTTTTCTGAATTCAAATAATTTTCATTCAAATTCTTCTACTTACAAAAATGGTTTGTTTGTGGTACTACTATGATCACTTCAGTCCTTCCAAATTGGTTATGAACGTCCTTAATCACAGGTGCGTAGTAATAAGCTTCACTCAACTCACAAAAAATCACAATAGAGACACTCAAAAATATCGTTGAGATTGCGAATTTCATTCTTCTTCTGCAAAAGATTCCAACAAATTTTTCTAGAAGTTCAATGTTTGACATTCGTTTTAAAAAGCATTGAATTTGTACCGCAGACCGGTTTGAACTTCCATTCCCTCGGAGGATTCTCCTTTTATACTTTCAGGTTGCCTCATGTTGTGCGCACTCGTGCCATATATTATTAAGCAATTCTCACTGGTAATATAAGACAGCTCATTTGTGTGAAATAAGGTGTTATGAGGTTCACTAGCTACACCTGTATTTATTGATTTTTCTTTTTATTTATTCAACATTCTCCCTTTTCTGCAGAAGTTCACAACGTATAGGTCTTAATTCCCACATATTTTGCCAACTTGACCTTATTGAGGAGCATTTTATGAGAGAAACTTTGTTGCATTCCACTAAGCGTATCTTTACATTATCCTTTCTCGTATGAAATTTTTGTTTTCACCACACATTAAACAATCAAAAATATTTTGTGTAAAATTTTTCAAATGTTCTGGAAATCTCTCAAAAACACTGACGTGCACTGAGAAGAAAATTTTCTTGTGCCAAGGAATCATTTTCTTAGGTGAAACATTTATTTTTTTGGGAGCTTATTTCTCCAGGCCAGTTGTTCCTAGGTAGTTCATGTCCATCAATAAACATTACAATTATGTTGAATTATGAGATGATTATGGTAGATATGACTTTGAATAAACACCCTTCACTATTTTTCAATTTTTTCAAATTTGAGATTTTCCCACGTAAAATAATTTGAAATAATTCTAAATGTTCATAATTATCAGTGGAGTTTATTGAAGGTCATAGATAGCATTATCATTCCGCAATTCAACATAATTGTAATATTTGGAGATGGACTTGCGCCACCTGGGAATGACTGGCCTGGAGCAATACGCTAGCAGAAAAAAAATTCTTCTCCTAAGAAAATAGCTCCTTGGCAAAAGTTATTTTTTTATCAGTGTGTGCATGAAGGGTCGGTGAACAAAGTGCGAGACAAATAGTGAATTTTTCGTAGGGAATCCCACCAAAAACTGTTTCAGTGAACGTGAATGATTTCTAAATATTGCGTAATCGTTCACATATGTGTATGTGTAGGAGTTTTCCTATAACGGAGAATGTTTGTTGTACTAAATGAATCGTAAGATATCCTCCCCACAATTTTTTTTATTACATTTCGCTCTCTATTTACCTTTTGCATATGCAGTACCATTTGGTGTCATTTCCTAGATAGCTTTCATCCAACTTTTCTCTCCGTCTGTTATTACTTCTCAGAGCGTATTTATTATCTATTTTCACATCTATGGAAATGAATTATGAATTCCAATTCCATGAAAACTAATATGCCAATTATAGTTCGGAATCTAATACAAACTATAGTATGCGCACTTCAATATACTTGAATGACAGGTGACCTCCATCGAAACATCGGACGAACGTCATTAACATATTTGATCATTTCTCCTTCAGAATGAATGGAACACGACTGAATTGTTTAAACTTCCCTTATCCGGCTAACCGCTACTGACAAATGATTTCTATTCTTCAATAACCATGATTCCACTTTATTTGCAAATCTTCGTAGGAACAATGTTACAATTCAGTAGCGAAGTGGTAAAAAGATACAAGTTAATTTTAACCATCGACCAGTTTTCAATGAATATCTCGGAATCTAAGGGAGATAGCAAAATTGTTGTTATAACATTTTTTGTAGGGCCAATCCAGTGCTACAATAAATGTAATTACGAAAATTTCGCTATCTCCCTTAGATTTGGAAATATTCCTCAAAAACTCAACTGGGAGCAGGGTTGCCAGATTCTGACGATTTGCAACCAAACCTGTACAATTTTAAATGGGGTAACGTCACGATCTGGTAACACTGACTGGGAAATAGGTGGACTTAAACCGTTCTACCACTTCGCTACTGAATTATTTTTCTCTATATAATAGAAAAAATAAGGAGGTTAAAAATTCAGGAGACGTCCGTGATTCTGACCCTTCCTGTGACCCTGTTGATGCCATTGAGAATGAGTTCTCATCTCTATTTCTCAAATTTCAATTGGAATTCTACTAACACGATATTATCATAGCAAATATTTCGGTGGCGAAAAAAAACAAATGAGTGCAGTATTCTTCGAAAGTTTACGGAAAGAAACCTTTTCGACGAAAAGATTCGGTTTGTACGAATCGACTTCAATTCTATGGAAATTTTCGAATAACAAAATTGTACATTGAGAAGGGAAATTTCCCCCGTTTTCCCAAAAGCGTTTTCCGCCTTCTTTGATCACATAAATTCTTGCAATACGTATATAATTTCAATTCGATGATGAAAATGATGGAGGCAAGCAAACAACCAGTTACCAAAATCATAAAAATTGATTTAACTGCTTGAAGGCTGATTGGCGCATGCACAGTTTGGTCGTTTTCCATCTTTATGAAATACTTGTTTTCCAATCGTCGCAATAATCCGACCTCTTTGAATTGACAGATACTGGAAAATGTTTCGTTTCCATTAGTTATTCTCCAGTCACCACAATGAAATTTTAATTCTTGCTCGGAAATTTAACTTACTGATGGTTAATGATTTCCGTGTATTTGCTGCCCCGAGGGGTGATCATTGACATGGGGTTCGTGATATTAATCCTTATGAAACTAATTTCACAAGGTATCAAATCGAATAGAGCTTTCTTCGTAGCTTCGTGCGTAAAGAAAGCTACTCTCGTTCTGCATACCTGAAATTTTTTAACGAGATAATTGGTTGACAAACCAGTTCCCTATAAATATAATTAACGATTCGTATCTGTATGTAAATATACTGTCATGATTATTAATACCTCTTCAAATGCTTCCTGAGGGCTCTTAGGAAGCGAATCTTCTGATCTCAAAAGAGACAGCATCTTCTTCTTGAGTTTTTTGTCGGAGAACTGTGAAATGATAATGAAGATATCAATCAATGATGTCATTGATGTCGGAAATTAAAATACAAGATTGAAAATATCAGTAAGAAATATCAATTACTTTATACATATCATTGATGAGAGCGCTGTCCAACACGATGAGTTCATACGTGCCATCTTCCACAAATTCCTCTACTGTATTGAAGGGTGAATACAAAGATAACGTGAGGGTGCTGGTCAGCGACGCAGCATACGTGCTTGAGATGACGAGTGCTGATAGCGCCATCGTCAAATAGACAATTCTTAAAGGAGCCTCCCTGGGAAATGCTATACAGAAAGTCCCATTCAAAAAAACTAATTACTTCTGATCAGTACAAAAAGTACTTTTACCCAGTACCAAGAGGTTTCTGGAGAAAAGGCAATTTTTTTTTGATTTTTTTTTTGTTACTTGGGACAAGTGAAAAAGTACTTGCAACAAGCACCTCCGTACTTCTCACCAGTACCCAGGTACTTGACCCATGATGCTTGCAGCCAGTTATTTTGTGACTTCGAGGAAGTAAAAAATTTGCCTTTTCTCCAGAAACCTAAAAGTACTTGTACTGAGTACCTGGCTGCTACTTTTCAAAAGTACCAACAGAACTCAATATGAGTAGTAATAGTACTCAAATCCAGTACTCATAATTTTTTTCAGGAATTCATTCAAGATTACAAATGAAGATCCAAATGGTGGACCACAAACGAACACAGAAAAATCTGAAAGGAAAATACGTTTTTGAAATGGTAATTCACGTTTTCAAAAACGTAATTTACGATTCTCAAAATGGGAAATCAATTCGGTTTGGAAAGCACTCATAAAAATCACAATCTATTGGTTTTTCCTACACAATTCATTCAATGAAGTGATCAATTGAAAGTGCTGAAATTAAGTCATAAAAGTACTTGAGAGAAGTTCAATAATTCCTTTTTATCAGTACCTTTGGTACTCATGAAAAGTTCTAAAAATACTAGCAGAAAGTAGTGAAGCTACTTCCTCCCAGTACTATTTCTACTGGATCGGTAGAGGTGGTACTTCACTTAAAGATACAAAAGTACTTGGGACAAGTATTTTTCAAAATTTGCACAAGTGAACTTCCCCCAAGTACCGGTCGGTACTGGTGAAAAAACATTTAGAAGAAATGTACTGTTCTGGTGAAAAGTACATTTTTCTTTGGGTGCCTTCATTAAAAATCTTGTTAATTGCAAAATTCCATCTGCTTTTACCTGGCACGCTTTGATGACAAAGAATTCCCCACATATGAAGATAATGGTCAGCGAAAAGCGGAAAAAACGGAGATTCCCTCTTGTATCTGATAAGAGTGAAGAATATAGCCGTCATCAGTATTGAACAAATGATAACAATCCAAACATCCGCTGCGAATGGCTATTATTAAATGATCAATGGTCAAAAAATCTATTCATGGAAAAGTAAAAAGGAGCTGAGTTGCCCCATCATGATGAGTACCTTGAAATACGCGTTCCACCTTACGTTAATAACGTCGTATTTACTGAAATATATTTCATAATTTCCAGTTATAATGGGAAGCGTAAAATCAACTAAATTGTGTCGTTCAACAGTCGCAGAAAAGGCAGCAACACCCAGATCTACCTCTTCTCGCTGAACTCTTCCAATACTACCAGTGCAATCTGAACTTCCTGTAATACAAACACCGAAGTCTTCTTCCCAGATTATTTCCGATACCTTGAAATCCATTGCTCGAGATAGTTCCTTCAAATATTCAGCTAGGAATCCATAAATCTGCCCATCTTTCTTTCTAAAGAAAACTGATTGCTGAAATCAACAAGAGTGGTAAACGTTTTTTGAAATAAAAATTGTATCAGTCTGTATACCGTGACGGCGGTTATGCGCAATGAGGCTCCCTTCAGTGAATATTTATCGCCGTTCATCAACTCATCCGAAAACCACGAAATCGTAAAATTTTCATCCATTAATCGCCCAATTTCCTGCCTTTTGGGAAGGTTTTCTCCGATAGACCACCATTCTTCAATCATGTTTGAGTCGCAGCATGAGATAAGGATTCTTGTACCGAACTTCAGATTTGCTATGGTTCCGTGCGGATTGCGGCAAAAGTGACAGACTTCCCGGTCAGCATCTCTCATGAAAAATATCAACCAAACAGCATAATTCATGTGAAATGTTTTAATGATTAATTCGAAAGTATGCAATTCTTCAAATGTCTCAAACGCGATCACGATTAGCGAGCTTGTAGTATAAGTGGGCTGAGTTTTCCATATGTCTCTCAATTGCTGAAAGCTAACGATGAGTGTTGATATCCCTTCATTCGATAAAAACCTAGATGTCTCATGCCAAACTGTTAATTGTTCAAATGCTGCAATCAATTTTGAAAATGAGTATCTAGTTTAATGGAAAATGGAATAGTTTTTGAACTTCAGCAATTTTGCTTACATAGGTGGTTTATTCCCGCTGTGATCGCCACTCCATTAGCTTCAAATTTATCATGAACGGCCTTAATCGCAGGTCCATAGAAATGAGCCTCATTCAATTTGACAATAATCACACTGGAGGTACATAATAATATTAAGAAGATGAAAAACTGCATCTTTTACTCGTCGAATAGCTCAACTGATTTTTGTCACACTCGTATCTGATTTTTTGCCTGTGTTCAATTTTATACAGTAATTGGTATATTTGATGGGTTGCACACGTAGTGTAAGAGCGGTGAGGTCGTCGCTGAAGCGGATTCCAAATAACATTCCCTAGACCGATCCATGCCCTTTTATAACTTTATGTACGTCTCACTCTAAGTGCAGGTTCGATGCAGCTGATTCTGGAAAAATGAGGTTGCGACGCGTCCAACAATGTACATGTAATTTTACCTTTCTTTCCCTTTTTTCCATTTATTTAACAAATTTTCCTATTTACTTTTCCGTTTTCGTGGTATGAGATAAGGTACTTTGTTTACATTTTTCGTTTATTTTTCAGCAAATGTTGAGGTATTGCATGCATCCAGAAAATTATGAACGTATGTTTTAACCGGTTGGATTTCAGTTACACTTATCTTGTGAAGGCCAACTCTGAATTGGGAAAAATTATTTTTATTCGTTTGTATTTATTGTTTTTCTCATAATAACAAAAACGAATTGAAAATGATTCTGTTGCCATGGAAAAGTTGTTTTAATTATAAGTACTGCTCTACTAAATTATGGAAAGCAGTCGCACTCAAATTATTTTCGGAAGAGGTTTCAATGTTTAAAACACACATAAACATACAGAGTATCTTAAGAACATCGTATCTGTACGGGGTAATTGACGCGATAGTCGAATAAATTTTAAAGTGACCCTTCCCTGAGGTATAAGGTCCAGATATACTCCGTGGTACGCCAATAATATCTGTTGTACTGTTGCTGACGATAAGTCACTCGAAAGCAACTGAGTTAAAAGTTAAAGGAACGGGATTTCAATAATTAACCACAATTCACTCAAACTCATTGTATAATTAATAAAATAAAATGCTGATGTATAAGATAAATGACATTAGATTGATTCACAAGATATACAACAAGTAACTATTGTATTCTACAAAACACTTAATACTAAAACAGATATTTGGTTTAAAGGCGAGATCAGAACTTAGCGTTGTCTTGATGTTTTTCCTTTGGAATCTTCGGTTGTACTAACTTATGAAGTTTCAACTTGTGAAAAGTTTGAGGCTCGGTAAAAAAAAACGAGGGCCAGAACGGACTCTCGAAGTAATTTTATGAGTTTCATCTCGCTAGCGAAAAGTAATTTTTTTTACGAATGACTTGACAAAGTGCTTGACAAAGTGCTTGACATAGTGTCGGTATTATGAGCACTTAGTGATTGAAAAAAAAAATTACCCAAAATTTTTTTATTTGAAACAAAAAAAAATCATCTCCGAAATGGGTTGTCGAAAAAATCTGAAAAAACTGAGAGATAATTTTCCTAGTCCCCCAATTGCAGAAAAAATTGAGATTATTCCAAAAGGGTGAGGGTCAGCCCTTGACTCATTTGGCACGGAGTACCTCATATACAATTATTGCAAGCAGAAACATTCCAGATAATCCTATCAAGGGAAATCTGCTAACGACTATTTTAGATCATAGTGTATAATAGCTATTCTAATGACGATCTCTTCATATGATTTGTATTCACTCCCACGCAAACTTTCAGGGCACATAGTTTTACGTTGGAAACGAAAAAGTCTTGCACTTTCCTGAAAGCACCCTCCGTCTTTTGCGGTCACGTGAGATCGTTGCAGACAAATGAACATTTCGTTCAACGGTGAAAATGATAACGGCGATCAAGAATCCAATAGCTAAAACGAACAAAATCGGTACAACTCGTTCCACTGTCACTGGTGGATGACCTGATTTTCCTCGTTCAAACTGCCTTAAGTACTTATGCTCCAACCGTTGTAATAATCCTATGCGTTTTAACTGCTGAAGACTTAAAAAAATACCATTTCAATTAATTATTTTTTTATTACCATTACCAATTTGTTTATAAATTAATCTTACTGGTGATTGAGAGCAGTCCGATATTTGCTCCCCAACGGCATGATCATTCCTGCGGTTCCTATTACTCCAGTCTGAACGGATGAAATTTCACAAGGTATTCGATTGAGTAAAGCTGTCTTCGTGGCTTCGACCGTGAAAAATGCTACTTTCTCCCTGCATACCTGTAAACATCACAAAGTTATGTTGAAATTATCCTGAAAATTGAAATTTGTAAAAGACGATTTATTTGCTTTTTAAAATACCTGGTAGAATGCTTCATGAATGCTTTGAGGGAGCGAATGCTCTGGTTTCAAAAGGGACATCATTTTCATCCTCATCCTCTCGTCAGTGAACTACGAAATGATAATAATAAAACTTAATTCATTTGTGAAAGATAGTATCGACGCTCAAGTATTATGTTGGAAACTAGAGGGCTGCGCCCCCTGCTCGCTCCGCTCGTCAACCCCGATATGACCCCCATATGGTTCCCGTATGATCCGTATATGACCGTCATGATCCGTATTCTGGTCCTTGTGACCCTTAATCTGACCCTCATTATACCCGTCGTGACCCTTATTTTGACCTTGGCGTCCCTTAGTTTCTGATCCTTGGTTTTTGACCCCCATTACCCTTATTTTGGACCCTTAATCTTTGTCATCCTTGATCTGACCCTTATTTGGATCCTTAATTTGACCTTTATTATATCTCTCGTGACCCTCATTTTGACCCACGGGACAAGTATTCTGACCCTTGTGACCCTTTTTTACCCTCGTGACCCGTATTCTGACCCTCATGATCCTTATTTTGACCCTTGTGACCCTTAATTTTGGAGTCTTCATTTCGAATACCAAATTTTCATCACCAGAAGTCGACTCGGATTTACAGAATATAGAGAGATATCGGTGATTACCTTATACAAATCAGTGACCAGGGTACGATCTAAAACTATGAGTTTATGAGAGCCGCCTTCCACGAATTCGTCCATTGTATTGAACGTTGAATCTGAAGACACGGTAAGGGTACTGATCATCGATCCAGAATATGCGCCTAAGGTGACCATCGCCGACATCAATATCGATAAATAAATAATCCTCGGAGATATTCCTTGGGGACACACTATTGGAAATATTTCTCATAAGTAATTTAGCAGACAGGAAAATTTCGGGGATCATTACCTGGCACGCCTTGTTGACAGTAAATACCCCAGACATATGAATAGTGTTCAAAGAGAAAAGCAAAAAAATTATCTCTTCTTCTGTATCTAATGAGAGTCAGCAACAGAGGCGTTATCAGGATCAGACCAAGAATAACCACCCAGACGTCTATTGTTAACGCCTGTCAGTGAACAATCAATCATTAGAATTTCATCCATAAGAAGACTAGTGACTATTTATTGTTGATCAGAACCTTGAAATAAGCATTCCATGTTAAATTATCAGCATGGCGTTTCTTAAAATGCAATTTCAATGGTGTAAAAAAAATTGGAGAAGTAAACGAAACCGCAGCGTATCGTTGAGTAGTCATAAAGAAATCAGAAACACCAATGTCAGCTTCTCGTCGATGGATTCTTCCAATTGCTCCCGTCCAATTGGACGTCTTTGGATTCCATATTCCGTAATCATGTTCCCAGATTATTTTTGATAACGTGAAATTCATTGCTTGAGATAATTCCGTTAACAATTCACCTAGGATTCCCGAAAACACACCATCTTCTTCCCACAACATAATGGATGTCTAGAATTGTACAATCATGTTTTGAGGTGATCTTTGTAAGGAGAATTTTCAAAGTTCTTACCTTGACGCCGATAACGCGAAATGTTTTTCCATCCATTGAGTATTTGCGGTTATGATCCAACTCATCCGAGGACCACACAATTCCAGGTTTTCCATCCATGAGTCGACCAACTTCCAGTCTTCGGATGCGATTTGTCTCGCTATACCTCCATTCCATAATTACATTCGAGTGGCAGCATAAAGTGAGCACTTTTTGACCGAATTTCGGGTTTGATAAATTTCCATGCGGTTTACGACAGAATTCACAGAGATCTTGACTACTGTCGCTCGTGAAAAGTATCAACCAAATAGCATAACTTGTGTACAATCCCTCAGCAATTGATTCGAAATTCTTCAATTCTTCGATAGTATCCAGCACGAGTACAATAAGTACGTGCATATTCTTTGCATTGACAGTCTTTAGGGATAAGTTGAGTGCATTGAAATCGACAATGCTTGTCGATATTCCGTCATTTGAGAGCGTGTTAATTACCCCATACCAGATCGTAGATTTTTCAAATACTGCAATGTAATCTCATCAGAAGAATTTTTTTTTGTCAATGGTAAGGTATTTATGGCGTAGTCAGGGAAGGTCGAAAGAAGTCAAGAAATTGATTTTTTTCATAGAGGAGGGTAGGCCAAAACGGACCTGGAGGGCAAAATGGACCACTGACAGAAAATTGGTAATTTTTGTTTTTTTTCTTTCCTTCAAATCAGAAACACTGAATGTGTTGAATTAAAAGTGAGTTTCTTGGATCATAACGGTCACAGGGGTTTTATAGACAACAAGTGTCGTTGAACTGCAATTTGATCAGATTTGCTAATCACCTCAAACCACAAAGGACTTCGAATTTGCTTTATTCGGAAGCAAAAACAAAAATTATAAATTTTGTCTCAATGGTCCGTTTTGCCCTATTTTTTTCAAAACTTCTATGCAAAATCCCAGTGAGCCTAGGAGAATGAGTGAAACACGGAAATTTTCACGGGTTTTTATGGGAATTTGGAGAAAAAAATTAAAAACAGAAAAAAAAGTCGCCATCTTCCTGAAATTTCGCACTTGGTTGGAGCTTTCATGCCGGAACATTAAAAAAAATAATCCAAATGGCCTAGGAGAATTGTTTACAAGGGATACTAAAAAAAATCATGAAGAATAGAAATTTTGCGTGCGCAACTTGGAATAGCGACAACGTCGAGTTTAGAAATGGTTGAGGAGTAAGCGCGGCAGATACGAATGGACTTGTGATGATACATTTCGCTATGGGAAGGAACATAACAGCTGAGTGAATTAGTGTTGCCAACTTGTATTCCGAATGGTACGACGTTGTCACTTTTTCTATCCAAATTCATTATTTTCCAATTATCCAAAAGACAAGGTAGAAAAATAAAAAAAAGACTTGAAATATGTGGGAGAAAATAGAAAAGTTATTAAAAAAATTTTTCGAACACAAAAATGGTCGAAATAGATTGAAAATTTGTAATTGAAATATCGTTTCTTTTGTTCAGCGATTGGTTTTCTGCGAGAGAACGATAAATCTCCCTCCGTCTCACCTCCTACATGCCTACTCCGCCATAAATACCTTCCTCTCAGTCTTCTTTACTTACATAGATTATTCGATCCCAATATTATCAATACTTTGTCAGAATTATACCTATCGCATACGTGCTTGATCAAAGATCCACGTTGAAGGGCTCCATTCAAATTGACGAAAATCAGACTCGAGGTACCCAATAACATCAATAATACAGAGGATTTCATTTTGGTGTTGCGCGATGAGGAAATTAATTTTCCTTTCAGAATTAACAATTATTGTTGTTTCATCGTTGAGGTCTTGTCACAAACTAACTCGAATTCGCTTTCTCGGACTATCCTCACTTTTTAATTTTTTGGTATACAGACGTCATACACAAATTGGGAAATTCTAAGCGATAATATAGTGCAGTTCATTTCTGTGCAATCAGCTGCCGTGATGTGTTCAACAAATTACACCTGTATTTACTGTCTTTTATTTCAGTTTGTTTAACGTTTTCTGTTTACTTTTTTTCCTTTTCCTGGAATGAGATCCGGTGCTCTCTCGTCACTTTCATTACCTCTTCACTGAGTGGCTCAACTATTGAATTCACAGAAAAAATATAAACTATATTACACCTTGTTAAACTTAATTCACATCAATTTTGCGGGTGGCAAATTGAGCTAATTATGGAGCATTTTCACGAAAACTTTTGTTTTTCTCCGACTGTTTTGTTAAATTACTCTTTGTCGCTAGGAAACGCTTTCCAATGGGAATTATTTCATCATAAATTCAACTCCAATGAAATATGTTATGCGGTCGAATATTCCAAGCGTCTTAAGTATTTTTTCACATTCTTGAAAAATATCAAATATGTCGGGAAAATATTAAAAATAGAAAGAGAGAAATATTTCAGAAGTTCCTCAGAGGCTTAATAAATGCATGATCTCCTTTCATCAATTTAAAGCTTTATTTTCATGAGCAAGTAAACATCCCACGGGAAAATTACATATCAGAATCTTAAAAATTTCCAATAACATGAAGGAAAGATGTGCTCTCATCACAATACTAAATATTAGCCACTACATCAGATTATGATTGTGAAAGCTGTGTATACTGTGCAGCCTTTTTCAAAAACATGGTATTTTCATGTTTGACAAAATCTGAATGCAGTCAGATTTTTAAAGTCAGAAGAAGGAATGAGTGCACAATATCGGACCACGAAGAGATTATATAAATTTAAAAGTTACTATGTGAACATAATAACCGATACGCTATCGCGTATCTTGATTGAGGGCCGTACTGAAAAAACTTTGAAATTTGATTGAGTTTGACCAAACGTTCGGGATGTGAAAGTCATTTCTTACGATTTGACTCAGGAATTTTTAACAGACAAAATAGTATAAAATGCACGGAAAAAAAATAATTTCCAAAATCGTTAAAAACGCTCTATTTTTTGTCCAACTTTTACGATTGAATGACGAGAAATACCTCGAATAGTATAAATTTTTACTATGTTAAAGGAATACTGGCAAAGTCATGAAAATCTTGATTTTTCTCCCTCTGGCCTTCACATACGACTGATTAGGCAAAACTGCTTATGCGAGACTGTTTGATAGAACTTCTAGTTCATATTACAGTGTATAATAACTATTCTAATGACGATCTCTTCATTTTAGTTGCATTCAATCCCGCGCAAATTTTCAGGGTACATAGTCGTACATTGGAAATGAAAAACTCTTGCGTTTTCTTAAAGAAACCTTGAGTTCTCTTCGATCACGTAACTTCGTTACCAACACATGAGCAGCATGTCGTTCGGCGATGAAAATAACAATGGTGATCAAGAGTCCAACAGCTAAGATTAACAGAATCGGTACGATTGCTTCCACTGTCACTAGTGGATGATTGGATCTTCTTCGTTGTGATAACTTGAAGTATTTATGCTTTAATCGTTCTAACAATCCATTGCGTTTGAACCGTTGAAGACTTGTGAAAATTCCATTTCAATTTATTATCTTCGTTTCTTTATGCCAAAATTATCGGTACAGTTTTATACTTCCAAAGTTTTGATTTTGTTGAAATTCCTTGTATAATTTTCTTATCTTTAAAAATTGAAAATACTTTATTTTTAAATGAAGTTAAAAAACCCAAAAATTATAAGATTTGTCAAAAACATAACTAGGATGAAATTATTTTTCGAATAGATCTGAGTGAGAATCCACTCTGATTTTTTATATATATTTCGTGAAGACTTTGCGTAAGAAAAGAAGAAATCGGTAATCGAAGAGGAAAGAGTCGCAATTCACATTTTTCAAATTTGGTGGCAATTTTTAGCCAGTTCCGATTAAGTGACCGGATTGAAGCCATGCTCAGTCGAACGAATGAGAAATTTCTGTCGAAAATGAATATTAGAAGTTGAAAAAAATTTCGGCAAAAACTCGGAACGGAAAAATTTAAGTAGTGTGCGTAACAAAATCGAAAAAAAAAATGAAAACTAAATTTGTTCAGGGCTTTTCAATCATAAGAAAACCATATGAGGAGCCTCGACAAAATGAAAAATTTAACAGTTTAAAACCATACCAATAATTTGCTAAACCACCCATAAAATGATCTTACTGGTAATTAACAGGATCCAAATATCTGCTCCCCAAAGGCACGATCATTGCTATGGTTCCTATTGATCCAGTCCCGACGGAATAGATTTCACAAGGTATATCATTAACTACATCTTTCTTCATGACATCGGCCAGGAAAAATGCTACTCTCTCGTTGCATACCTGCAAATATCCCACAATTATATTAAATATAAATTGAAATTCATAAAATACGATTCCTCTGTTGCTTGAAGTACCTGGTGGAATGCTTCTTCAATGTTTTTAGGGAGCGAATGGGATGGTTTCAAAAGGGACATCATTTTCTTCCTGAGACTCACGTCTCGAAACTATGGAATGGGGATAACAAAACTTCATTCATTTGCAAGTGATAGTTAGATATCGACAGTTAAGTGGTATTTTGGAACTAGCGTTTACCGTGTATATATCATTGATCAGGGTAGGATCTAAAAATATGATTTTATAAGAGCCATCTTTTATGAAATCTTCCATTGTATTGAATGGTGAACCTGAATACTCGGTGAGGCTACTGATCATCGATCCAGAATATCCGCCGAACGTGACCATCGCCGATATCAATATCGATAAATAAATAATCCTCAGAGATGTTCCTTTGGGGCAATCTATTCCGAATATTTCTCATGAAAAATTTAGTGGATAGAAAAATTTCGTGCATCCTCACCTGGCAAGCTTTGTTGACAATAAATACCCCAGATATATGAATAGTGTTCCAAGAGAAGAGGAAAAAAATGATCTCTTCTTCTGTATCTGATGAGAGTCAACAAGATAGGCGTTATCAGGATCAGACCAATAGTAGCCATCCAAACGTCTATTGCCAATGCCTGTCAGTGAATGATCAATCATTAGAATTCTATCTATAAAGCCCCACACTGAGAAAAATTTCAATGGTAATTTCAACTAGAAGGGAATTGTCAAAGAAATTATATTTACAGTAGCAATAAACTTTGTAGATTAAACTAGGATTCATCCTTCGATTTACTATGTCAAATAGTGTCATTATGGTGTAATTTTCACTTTAATGTTATAGTTGAATCTACAATGTTTATTGTTACCGTAACTATTACTTTTTTGACAATTCCCTTGTAGTTGAAATTACCATTGAAATTTCTCTCAGTGGGCCTATGATCCCCATATGACCCTCATTCTGATCCTCATTGTGCTCCTCGTGACCCTCATTTTGATCCTTGTAACCCTTAATTTCTGACCACCATGACTCTTATTTTGACCCTGGTGACCCTTAGTTTCTGACCCTTGGTTTTTTACCCCCATTTGTACCCTTACTCCGACTCTTGTGACCCTTCATCCTGCTGACACCTATTTAGGCCCTTAATCTGACCCTTGTTACCCTTATTAGGGTTCTTAATATGATCCTTATGACCCTTAATCTGACTCGTAATTTAATTCTCGTGACCATTAATATGACCTTCGTGACCCTTATTTCGACCGTCATGATCCTCGCGACCCTTATTTTGACCCTTGTGACCCTTAATTTTGGCGTTTCAATTTCGAGTACCAAATTTGCATCGCCAGAAGTCAAGTCATTTTGTCAAGTCAATTTGGATTGTTATAATAGAGAGAGAAAAGCTAGAGTAACTCACTATCATTGATCAGTACCTTGAAATAAGCATTCCACGTTAGGTAATTAATATCGCGTTTCTTGAAATGAAATTTTAGTGGTCCAAACAAAATTGGGGTTGTAAAGGAAACCGCATCGTATCGCTGAAGAGTCATAATGAAGTTAGAGACACCAATGTCAACTTCTCGGTGATGGATTCTTGCAATTGCTCCAGTCCAATTCGACTTCTCTGCATCCCATACTCCGAATTCGTCTTCCCACATTATTTTTGATATCGTGAAATTCATTGCCTTTGACAATTCTATTAGCAATTCACCTAGAATTCCCGAAAGCTTGCCATTTTTTTCCCGCAACAACATAGACATCTAGAATTATGCAATCATGTTTGGAGATGATCTTTGGAAGGAGAATTTTCAGAGTTCTTACCCTGACTCCGACAACACGCAATGTTCTTCCATCCATTGAGTATTTACTATTATAATCCAACTCATCGGAGGACCACACAATTCCCTGATTTCCATCCACGAGTCGACCAACTTCCAATCTTCGGCTGCGATTTGTCTCGCTATACCGCCATTCCATAATTACTTCTGAGTCGCAGCACAGAGTGAACACTTTTGAACTGAACTTCGGATTTGCTAAACTTCCATACGGTTTACGACAGAATCCGCAGACATCTTGACTACTATCGCCCGTAAAAAGTATCAACCAAGTAGTATAATCTGCATAGAATTTCTTGACAATTGATTCAAAAGTCCATAATTCTTCGATCGCATTCATCACGAGTACAATAAGTGGACGCATATTGTTTTCGTTGACGGTCTTTAACATAAATTTGAATGCATCGAAATCAGCAATCCGTGTCGATATTCCTTCTTTGGAGAGCATCTTAATTACCCCATGCCAGATCGTAGTTTTTTCAAATACTGAAATGTAATCTCATCAGAAGAATATATTTGTTTTTCTCAATGTTTGAAGAATTCCTATCACGCCTCTTCACCGAAAATAATATACTTGAATTCAGTGTATTTTATACCAGAATCAAGTATATGCATACTACTTCAAGAATAAAATATACTTGATTCAAGTATATTTTATACTCGAATGGAGGATTGATATTTCAATTCGAGGATGATTATTTTGTATCCGCCCGGGTTGTACCAAGCGCTCTCAAGTGTAATATAAGGCTCAGACACTAAGTGTGAAAATATAAGGATCAAAAAATGGAGGTTAAAAAATGAGGGTTGGAATATTAGAGTCAAAAATTGCGGGCCTGAATGTAAAGGTGAATGAGTGTGGGTCAGAATGTTAGGGTTAAAAAAAGAGGGTCAGGGTATTAGAATAAAAAAATTAGGGTCAGAATATAAAAGTAAAAAAAGTAGGTGTCCGGTAATGAGGGTCATATAAGGGCTAAAAACGGTGACCAAGCATAATATATGACTTATATTTAGACCCTCATTGCCTGAACCCACTTTTTTTACTTTCATATTCTGACCCTAATATTCCGACGCTGAGAGTCAGATCCTTATATTACACTTACGAGGGCTTGCTACAACCCGGTCTGATACAAAAGAATCATCTCCGAATTAAAATACCCATCCCCCAATTGAAAACAAAATATACTTGATTCAAGTATATTTGTACTCAATTCCGGTATAGTTTTTTCCGTGTTTACTTACATAAATTATTCGATCCCAATATTATCCACACTCCATCAGATTTATACTTATCGTAGAAGTCCTTGATCAAAGGCCCATGATGAAGAGCTTCCTTTAAATTGACGAAAATCAAACTCGAGCTACCCAATAATATCAATAATATAAAGAATTTCATTTTTCCGTTGCTTGATGATGAAATTAATTTTCCTTCCAGAATTAACAATTACTGAATTAACAATTATTGTTTTATTGTTGAGGTCGTGTCACAAACTGACTCGAACTCGCATTCTCCCAGACTACCCTCACTTTAATGTTTTTGCATACAGATGTCATATACAAATTGAGAAATTCGAAATGATAACATAGTGCAGTTCATTTCTGTGAAACGAGGTACAACTATGTATCCGACAAACTGCACTTGTATTTACTTTCTTTTTTTCAGCTTGTTTAACGTCTCCTATTTACTTTTTTTCTTTTTCCTGGAATGCCATCCAGTGCTCCATCTTTACTTTTATTGCACGAAGAGAAATATTCAATAACAACTACATATCTTTTCCGTAATTCCGTGAAAAATGACGATACCGTCACTTAAATTTTCTGAGTCGATTCGGTAATCGGTGAGCGAATTGTGAGTTCCGTAATTTTCATTGAACATTTCTCTCCGTGTATCTTTTCATTGAGTGTATCAGCTATTGAATTCACGGAAAAAATACAAACAACATTGCATCTTGTTAAGTTTAATTTACATCAATTTTCCGGTGTGCATTTTAAGCTTTATGAGGAGCATTTTCACGAAAACTTTTGTTTTTCCATGTCCATGTCGTTGAATTACCTTTTGCCGCTAGGAGTTGCTCTTCAATGGGCATTATTCGATCACAAATTGGATTCCATTGAAGTTTTTTTTTTTTGGAATATACCAAATGTCCCTCAAATGTCCCTTTCACATTTTTGGAAGATTTCAAATATGTAACAAAAATATTGAAAGCTGCCAGGAGAGAGAAACGAACCACATCAATTTTTTATCACAAACGGGTTTTACATATCACAGTAAGCTTACAATTCTGTTTATCACCTGTTGCATAGAATATGAATTATATCGATTGATGACACGTAATATTCATATAGAACTGATCTGGGTACATAAGCTGAAGCGGGAAATATCATGCATTTTTTTCAAGACTTTTCGTCTTTTTCGATTTTATCAGTTCCTCGTTGACGAATAACAATTTTGTTCGATGACGAGAATGATGAAAGCAATCAAAAACCCAATATCCAAAATAAACAGAATTGGTTTCACTTCCCGCAGTTCTATTGGTGGAGGGACTATATATTTTCGGTGTAACGCTATAAAGTATTTACACTCCAATCGTCATAATACTCAATTGATTCGAAGAAAATTAACTGCACAATAATCAATTTAGCGTATAGTATAAATTGCAAATATCTTTCTGCAGAGGTCAGATCTTTAGAATTGACAACTCTTGAGAATTCAATGCAGAATATGGTATTCTCGCAATTTAATTCACATCCTAACAAACCCATGCCACGTTGATATTCTTTCAAATGCAGCAGATAATTCTTACACAAATGAATTGTTCTTAAGCCGAGGATACTCTAGAACTATCATGTTTGCCACAAGCGCATTGATAGACTGATTCATTTATTCCAAACGAGATTCGTTAACTATTAACGAATGGTAGAGTTGAATTTGACCAAATGAATATTCGTTAATACTTTACGAATAGTTCACTTAAAAAGTGAAAGTCGAGTCAAATAAGGCTTCTCAAACGTATATTTGTTAACTATTAACGAATGGACATTTGGTGAGACCGAATAGACTCTTGTCTCCAACCAAATCCATTCGTTAACAATAACTAATCTTTTCCATCAGTGCGGCTTTGATCACATGCCCACATTAAGGACGAACTTCATTCAATTTGATGAGAATTACGATGAACATGATCAGGTATCAATAAACTGGAGAAATCCATTATTATTTTGTCCAATGAGAAAATTTATTTTCTCTCAGAGTTGTTGATTGTTGCTCGTTTATATAGATGGCTCGTTTCGTGTCAGACTAATTCGAATTCGCATTTCGTCACATGATCCTCGCTACCTTATCCCTTAAAGTCATAGACGAATTCTACGATTGCAGGCGATACCATTCAATGAAATGAGCTGTTACGGTGAGTTCAACAAACACGCCGTAGCTCCCGAATTAACTTCGTTCATTTTCCACATCACCCGAACATTAAAATGCTCTTTGTTTATTCTCACCTCGATTTTTCACAAATTGAATTCACGCGAGAAACCGTAAGCGTCGCCCACACCTTGTTGAATTCAATTTACTCTGACTTTGTGTCGGTCTAGTTGAGCTGATTAAAGAGCATGTCTAGGAACAGCTTCCTTATTCTCCGCCAAGTGTTTGTATTCCTTGATTTAGTCTCCCCCGCAGGAATAAGATAATCTCCAATTTGAACATCAAAGAATGTTCCGTGAAGAATTTAATTTTCTGGGATAAAATTGGAGACTGGAATCATGAAACAACAGTTGAAGTCATGGTACATACTTCTAATAAAGCAGTCTAACCACAAGGAATAGAAGAAGAACAGTTGGAGTCTTCTTCTATTCCACAAGGAATAGAAGAAGAACAGTTGGATTCTCTACGTATTTCCATTTAAAATTTATGCAAGGCCTGTTCGGTGTTACGATTATATCAACTATGAAAGAATGGTAGGATGAAAGATAATGAAATTCACTTCTTTCCGCAAAAATCAAGGATTCGCCGAATCAAGACGGATTTATCAACTGCGTTAAAAAATATCACAAACAAATCAAGAGCAGTTTCATTCTCATCAAAAGTCATGCTTTCTGCTGATGCTTATGCTATTAGGCCACAAAGCAGTGAGAGTTAATGTTGAAGATGAGCCGTCTCCATTAAAACTTTGAAATTGGGAGCGTGAAGTGCCCGCTGTTTTTCAACAAACTGTTTAATATGCTAGAGCACTACTCCTGCAGAAGTCCAATGTTCACGCTTGAATAGCAATGGTTTTGATCTACTTCAGAATTACATGAAAGACATCGATGTCTAGACTCTGTACTCACTTGTCAAAAGTGAATCAAGAGTTTTGATCAGTTGACCAGTATCTCGATCGACAAACAGTTTCAAACTTTGTTGCTCCATCAATTGTTGAGACATAGTCACTCCCGCCGCGGGGGGAACCACAAACTTGAGAGGAAGTGAAGTGAAGGAAGTGAAGGGATCTGAGATTCGGAATCCTTGATTAGCCGGCAGCTCTATCATGACAATTAGATATTTGTGTACATTTCACGGCTTCAAATCGTCATCAACTCCGCTTCAACTAGCATGACAACTCCTTCTGTTCTCAACGGAAATCGAAAAAGCCATTAAATTGTTAATCCCTCCAAGGCATGCCAGGAGCGATGACTCTTTGACGAACAGTGCAGATGATGGCTTTAGTTAGTCTGCACAATTCCGGGCAGTATCTAAGTAACTGATACATTCAACTACTGGCACAAGAAGTTGTTCATCTCTATCAAAGAATCATAATTGAGGACCCAAACAGATTCGAGTCAAACATTGAAAACATTAGTTAGTCCATTATTTGGATCAGTACCTCGAAATCGACTCTGAAAATCAATTCATATTCTAACTATCAGTATTTTACTATCGCCACAGGAAGATTTTCATCTATGCAGATTGCAATCATGGTTCTTTTTTACCAGAATGATGAATACTTCATGATTCCTCAGTTCAAACTCATCACGTACCGTTCCTTGCTTCCAAGTCTATAATCAATTATATCCAAACACAGAATATACACCCAGTGGAGTCCTATCAATCCCTCTTATTCGTTCCATCCCCTTCCTCAGCTTCACCAGAAGCGACATTCAGATGTTTGTGTGTATCTCAACGCTTCAAACCATCATCAACTCGGAGTCAACTAGCATGACAATTCCTAAACAAAAATCGCAAAGCTATCCGAGCCGTAAATCCCTCCAAGCTATCCCAAGAGTTATACCTCTCGGGTCAAACATTAATGATGATGTCATTAGTTAGTCTATTATTTGGATCAGTATCTTCAAGTTGACTCTGAAAATCAATTCATCTTCTAACTAATTAATACATTTTACTATCGCTACAGTCGGATTTTTATCCTTACAGACTGTAATCATTGTTGTCTTTCACCGGAATAGTAAACTCTTCATGATTCTTCGGTTCAAACTCATCACCTGCCGTTCCTTCCAAGTCTTTAATCAATTATATCCAAACACAGAATACACACCCAGTGGAGTAGTATCAATCCTTCTCATCTCCTACATCCCCTTCCTCGGCTTCACCCAAATAGCCAGAAGCGATAATCAGATGTTTGTGTGTATCCCACCGCTTCAAATCACCATCAACTCGGAATCAACTAGCATGCCGATTCCTCTCCTAAACAGAAATCGCAAAGCTATCCGAGCCATAAATACCTCTCTGGTCAAAGATTCCAGAATCTTCGAGTTGACTCTGGAAATCAATTCATATTCTAACTAATTAATACATTTTCTATCACTACAGGAAGATTTTCATCCGTACAGAGTGTAATCATTGCTGTCTTTCACCAGAATAATAAACTCTTCATGATTCTTCGATTCAAACTCATCACCTGCCGTTCCTTCCTTCCAAGTCTATAATCAATTATATGAAAACACAGAATGTATAGGGGAGGTTGGGGCAAAATGGAACTGTGGGGCAAAATGGAACGGCGGGGCAAAATGGAACGGTACAAAAAATTCTTATCCCAAGAAATTTCTCCTCAAGAGATGAAATATTTGGCAAAAAAAATTAGTTTTGTGATATTATGACGATTTTTCTCTCAGTGTATGACACCGGAACGAATGATTTGAGATAAAATGTGACATTTTCCTCTCCTTTAGTAGGCTAAATAGTTGAAAGAAAACTGAAATTTCATGAGCAGTTGTCTAAATATTTTCAAAACAGTGACTGATTTCGATACAGGGGAAAAATAATGAAAATTCATTGGAATTCGAAATTTTTGAAGAGCAGAAGGATGAGAATTCCTCAACTCATCTGAATTTTCAAACAAAACATTAGTAAACTTTAGTAAACTAAATCCTATAATGTATTTTTCAATTTTTAATCAATTGAAA